TGGAACTCAGAAGAAATAGGATGATGTTTTTAGTATTGGCTGTATATCCTGATACCTTAAAGAAATGAAAATAATTGGATGCCTTAAAGAAATGAAAGCAGTAAGTCTGCTTTTTGCTCATAGAGTGCTACAAAACTGACTCTTTTCATCCAGTTTTTAAAAATTCCTTACAAATGTACCTCTTCTCTCTGTTGTGCTTAAACTGGGGAATGTTCTTTGGGATATCTCTGTTGGTTACTCGTTGATAAGTCAATTTCCATTTTCTTTCCCTGCTGACCTATGGATGGTTGAATGGCTGTACATTACTGTATATCCCTTATAATATCTATTTGTGCATTCACACTTAAGATCCTACTGGAAGAAAATCTGCTGTGATGCAGAGTAACATAAACTTTTTGTAAGAGTTTGTGGCAGTTCATGTGAGAGGATGAGCTGAACAGAAGCACCAGCAGCACATGAGGGTGACATACCAGCTTCCTCCTTATACAGGTGTGTAACTAACCATCATCTGTTCAACATAAACAAATACATTTCAGATAGCTGAGCAGCTGTTCAGACATTTTCTTGGGAGGAAGAGCACATTTTACATGGGGCTTGCAGATGATGATGATGATGGATTTCGGTGCCCCTGAGGGCTGACTTACACTTATGTCAGGAGGACTGCAGTGGACACACACAGTGTTGAAGGATTTGATGCAGTGGTGGCCTGATCATCAGAAGGGTGGCCACCTTTGAACTGGAGAGGACCAGCATTCACTGCTGGGTACATCTGACTCAGAGAATTTCCTTGAGTATCTGCAAGCAAAGCTCAGAGCAGGCGACTGTGCAAGAGCTGGCAGCAATGTGCGTGTTCGATGTAGGTAAGGAGGCTGGCAGTTGTTGCTGGTTGACTGATATCAAGCAGCAGGCAGGTTGCAAAGGTTATATTCTTGAAATGCATTCTATGATTTGTTTATGAGCTTGCCCAAAGAGAAGCCCAATGAGAAGTAAGATGGCTTTTCCACTGAAGCTCAGAAAAGGTGATATTCAGCCTTTATACTTCTTGACTTCATTTTTCTATGTGTTTGCTGTTTATTTCATTTACTTTATGCTGTGGCATTTAGTTTGACCAAAATTTTCAAATGTACAATAATTGAGATCTGTGCTCTTTAACCTTAAAGAAAAAGCTATAAAGAAAAACTATTTCGATTAAACTTCAATTTCTTTGGAACAGATGTTGGATCAGAGCTGAGTGGAGGGCAAATAAGCTCCATTTAACACCAGGCAAAACTGAGGAGTCTATGACTGGGGATTGCTGAAAGTTTTTCATTGACTTGGAGCTGATGCAATAGCAGGTGCCTGGGACTGTGTGCACTTTGGATCTTCTTTTTCTTCTTTTCTTTTTTGGCTACTGCAACTTTTACATTGTTAATGTTTCTTACGTTGCCATGTGGACATTTTATTCTGTTGTACTGTCAGCTTAGATTTTTCTTCTCCATAACATTGTTTGTACAGAATTTTGGGGGTTTGTATGATACTGTTTTTAGAGCTCTCATAACCTTCTGAGTTCCAGATTTTATGCAGATGTGATTACTAACTCTGTGTCACTGGGTGAGTCTGCATAACCACTTACAAAATGAAGAAAACTTACAAATTTTTGAGGGATGTTTTAGAAATCAGAGGGTAGCAAGTGTGGCTGTTGGCAGCTTGGTGATTTAGAATATAATGCTCTGAATTTTTAAAGTGTCCTATACAGCTTTGAACCCTTTTTAAATGTCTCCATGCTGTCCTTAGCTGAGGCCAGGTCTGTGTGGTGCATTTATCTGCTTAGTGGCAGTATTTATCTGCTCAGTGGTCTTTTGTGGTGGTGTTATAGGAGAGTTTTTATCCTGTGTGAGATGTTTCTCTATTTTACAGGGTAGATCTGTCTTAATCTAGAACAGTCCCAGACAGACACAATCACCTTTTTTGTCTCAGTAAATTTGGTTTCTGTGGTGGCAACTGTCATGAATTGTGTAGCAAGAAGGAGCAGAATACAGAATACAGTAGAGAATAATACAGAATACCGAATATAGAATACAGAATACAGACGGAGTTTTGCAGGAACACACATTTTGTGTTGTTAATTGCTCTTGGGATTGTAATTGTGCTGCTAACCATGAGTGCTTGAAAAGTATATGAGAAGCCAATCCACATTTTCCTTTTTCCAAGGGCTACTGGATCATGAGTGATGCCAAAAGTTTGGTTAGCAGAATAAGTCCTTACCTGTCTTGAAATTTTTGGATGAAGTAGTATCTATGAGAGAGCAAGTACTGAAGGGGACTGTGATCTTTCTAGGATCAACCAAACAAAATCATGTATGAGAGATGGAAATAAGAATGGCTTGGTGGTTTTATCTCCGATTAAGAGCTGAGTCCAATGACATGCAGGCAAATGTGCATGGATCAGCCCCAGAATCGCTGGCTGGAGTGCTGGCAGTGGTGTGAGCACCAGGCTGCCACTAGAAACTGAGGAAGAAAGGAAATTTCTTTGGTGCTTGTAGCCAGCACTGCCTGCTAATGCTGTGTGTGACACCACTGGCAGCCTGGCTTGCTACGGAGGCCAGTTCTCCAAAGAGATGGGACACGACTGTGCTTAGCCACAGCCTGAATTACCTGGATAAACAGGGATATAACAGCACAGACTGAATCTCCACCTTGATCAGGTATTTGGGGCTCAGAAAGACATTGCCTATCACTGTCTATCAAATCACTCACATTTCTCCAGACAACTTTAGCTTCTTGGCTCCTGGAACAGAACTGATGAAGGCTTAGGTGTGGTCTGATTAGTGGTTTGCTTCTGCCCTTCCTGCCTGCATCTGTGGCTGTCTCTTGTGTTATCTATCCCCAGATTATAAAATCTTGTGATTTTATCATCTCTTTGCCTGGCAGGGCTTCCATCTCCACCTCCAGTTCCCAGAGCTTCATTCTGCTCCTTTATTCTCTTTAGTCAGAAATTCTTTCGTTGTTATCCCTTTAAAAGTTGGCCTTTTGCAGTATTTTGTTTTTAAATTGTACTGCTTAGCAATTTATCTTAAATGAGAGCAAGAAGAGTCTGTTATGTGGTAATATACAATGGGTTGGGGTACGGACAAAAATGTCTCTAAGATGTGTACTTGGTTAAGTAGCCCTTCTTTGGGTCAGTTTTGTGCATAACATTCCTCCTGGGAAGTTACTTAGGATAGGTCAAGAACATAAGATTTTGATCTGGGAAATTTAAGTGAAAAATGGGAATATAACTTCCTGGTAGACAAAACTGAAGATAAAATCAGTAATAACAGTAGTTTGGCAGTAAAAGTATTAACTGATTTAAAATTTAAAAAAAAAAAAAAAAAAAAAAATCTATGTAAAAGGATTTGTGAGGTGACAGAACTGAGGTTATCTATTATAATTCTGCTATAGATCTGTACCAAATTAGCAAAATCTCTTTCATGCCAGATATCTTTAAATAGTCTTGCCTTTACATGCACACACTTTCCTTAAATCTCCTCAGAGCATTTATTTATTGATAGGGGCTGTGTAGAGGCAAGAAAATTAGATTATCTGTTGTGTTTTTGTTGGGTTTTTTTCCATATTTTTCCATATTGCTGTTGTTTCATTGTACTGCTTAAGCTCCCATTAGGGACTTTAATTTTGTGTATATTTTTAAGAAACATTTTTTTCAAGCAAAAGTTTGGAAAAGTAGCCATTTTTAATTCTGACAGTCTGGACTATTCAGTATGACCTAAGGAGAAAAGTTTTTTGGAAACCAAACTTTATGCTTAGCCTTTCCTATTGTGTTTCCCTTTCAGCAGAGAAAGGATGCACAAAGATAGTTTCTGTGGGTTTAGGAAACAGATGATAGTATGCAAAGCCCCATGTTTGTATGCACTGTGGTGTTTTGACCTTTATTTAATGGTGTTTTTTGAAAACTTCAGAGTAGGTCAGTGAAGGGGTGTACTCAATGTTTGAGGTCAGCAAGTGAAAACAGAAGAGGGTCATCTGCCCCTTATTGTGTGTGTGAGGGGTGAGGGATTTTATCTATTTATTTGAAATTTTCTTAGCTGGTCTTCAAAGGAGTTAAAAAAATAAAAAAATAGGCAACATTATCTAATCAAAGCTGCTCAGCCAACTAATGACGTCAAGTAGTAACCTTAACCTTCACTTTCTCACCATATTTCCTTTGGACTATAAGCTATTTAATACAGCTTAAAATTACCTCATCCATCATAGCAATGTAGCCTTTTTCTTTGCTTCACTATGTAGTGGGTTTATCAGCACTGGGCATGGGAATGAGGTGAAGAATAATTTCTTCTTTAATTGAATTTGCAGATTGGAATGTGAGGGGGGAGAATTGGGTTGTGCTGGCAGCAGGCCAGCACCCCAGGTTGTCAGCTCCCTGTGTACCAAGAGTGCTTTAATCACTGCACAGAGCAGGTGCCAGGGTATGGAATGAGCGTGTTCAGTACTGTAGTTGTGTCTAACATGAAATTTGAGCTACAGCAGTAATTTAGAATGGAAACACAACTGCATGTGGTCACACTCTGTGCTGACTTGACTTCTGTGTCTGAGAAGGATGATTGCATTGTGTGATGAGAGCAGGTGTCAGGTGTTATCATGGGGAAATAAAAGCACTTATTACCTTGTGGTGTGATTTGTTCATATGACTGTGCTGTTGGAAAGAATAATTTTGCCTCCTGGTATCATTTTCAACAGCATGTCTCTTCTTCCTGCTGTTTCCAGTAAAAGTAGTGAGGCTACTTAGGATACTCAGAGGTGATGTGCACATAGATAATTAAAGCAGGTGTCGTTCTCAATTCAGTTCTCAATATTTTAGAGAATAATGTGGTATTGCTTTTTTGAAAGGGAAGATAATTGTCAAATACTTAAAAATTAACAGTTAAACTGCAGTTGGCAAATCCTTGAAGTAGCAACATCTTGTTGTTTTTCTTGTTGCTTATGTCAGTCTAGAACATGAGAATCACAGATTTGTTTTTTCCTCAGAATATGGTGGAATGGGTTTGGACTTCTCCTACAGTATTGCAGTAGCAGAAGAGCTGGGAAATATCCGTTGTGGAGGTATTCCCATGGCTATTGGAGTGCAAGCTAGCATGGCTACCCCTGCTCTTACAAGGTAATTTTCAGAAAGTTTGGTTTAACCTAAAACCCGACTGTCATGAGTAGAAAAAACAATACTGTGTAGATTGCTATTCAGTAATGCCTGAGGAAAGAAACTACTCTCTACTTTCTCAGACAGTTTGTTAAGGGGAGAAAATTATTTTTCTTTTTTTTTTTTATATGCTAGATCTATATTAATTATATGTTAAAACATAAACCTTGTTGAGTAGTAGATGATATGTTTACAAACACAGAATCTTGGTGTCACAACCAATTAAAAAAAAAAATTAATTCCAGAATCCAATTTGTTCATGTTTGTCTTCTTTCTTATATTCCAGGTCCATAATACTAAGTAATTAAGTAATACTAAGGATGCATTTAATTGTAATGATTAGGATCAATCTAATTCTGCTTTATAATTTACTTGCTCTTTTTCCAGCTTTGCAAGGGGTCAGCCCTAAAGTTGTCACACATATATCATGCCTCCTAAATACACCCATTCTAGACAATGAATCATTTTTCTTTTCCTCATCAGCTATGTCAATGTTCCCATTTTAATCACTTACTATCATTCAGACTCCTGAATCATTTTAACCTGATTTGTTGGGGTTTTATCCTCCCTCAGTAAAAGTGAGTTACCGACTTCTTCATGCAGTATTTTCACAGACATTCAATCATAACAGCAGTTCTTAAAACTAGAGTGGGGCAACTGGCTGATAGACCAGTTTGCCTCTGGACCTAAAATTCTGGAATATAAGGGTGGGAATAAAATTCTAATGAATATGTTGAAATCGGGAATTCCTCTGCACTAAACAGATATACAAGAAAGGAAGTTATACTCAGAAGAACATTTTAGGGATTTTTTGGTAATTTTCAGGGGCTTGTTGATTTTTTTTCCCATTCTGAATGAAAATGCCTGCAAATCTGCTGTAGAGTCTGGAATATAAGCTCTATTCCCTTGACATCTTCTTATCCTGCTGCATGCGTGACTTTGGAAGTCTCATCTACAGCAAATTTTTCTTAAAGTTTTTTTCTCCTGTATGTAATACACCAATAGCTTGCTAAGTGCATGGAGTTCAGTATGTCTGTTGCAACAGTGGCTTAGCTGTAGTCCAACTGAGAATAAGAATAGTATTTTAAAAGACTTCAGACAGTACTGTCTTGCCCCCATGACAGCCTTTTATTCAGGGGGTTAAAGAAACTCTGTGGGTAAAAGAAAATGGGATTTTGTTCCTTTGCAGTTTTTTAGCCTTCTGTTACTCTGTTCTGCTCTATCAAAACAGGGAATTTATGTATATTTATGCTAGTGAAATCCTACAGTGGAAGTTCTTGGAAAATAAGAGTGAAATTGTTGTTAACTTGATGAAATCTGTTAATTGAATTTGTATCTGCATTATTCAATTTTTCCTCCACTGCTGAGCCAATTCCACTGGCTCTTTATACAGTATAATGCCCCCCCCACACATGTCAAAGTGAAACTTGGTAATGAAAAGAGAAAGCTGGTTGCTACAGGAGATTTTGCCTGCATGCATCTTTCCCTCATGCTGTATAGTGGGAGGGCCAACTGCTTGTCCTGGATTGTGGATTCAAGGGGCACCCATGTCCTGGATGGTTTCTTTAAAACCATCTGTGTGCTATGGGGATTCTAAACATGGTTGTAGAGATAAGTCATGTTTTGCATCTTGACTGTGCATTATTGCACAAATCAATATATTGATGGTCACAACCAATAATGTGGGAGTCAACCATCAACCCCTAAAAAAGCCTCTGTAGCTCTTTGTTGGCTTTCATAACTTTAAGCTTTGTTCAGCATTTATCCAGCACGTACTGAGTGTACCTACAAACTAACTCCTTGAATGTGATTCCTATCATTCCCAGAATCCTTCACTTAGGGTGAAGCAGTAGGACTTTCTAAATTTAAGAACTAAATGCAAAATGATTTGTCAGCAGTGATCTTACTTTGGATGGTACAGTCAACTTTCTGTCAGGTCTTTCAAATGCATTCAGATATAATACTTCCACTTACAAATAGAGTGGAGAAAGCAGCTCCTAGCTGAGGCAGTGAATGATATGCATTTCCCAGGGTTTATAGACAAACCTGTAGGGTATCACATCTGTACTGATACCAGATGAATTTGGAGCTGCTTATCTCAGCAGTAGGCAGTGAACTTTACCTTTTTATATTTTTTTTCCTGTTGTTTATAGGCAAATAGTAAGGATAATGATGGTTATTTACTAGGAAGAGAATGCTTTTCTATTTCATCACTGATTCTTTCTCCACCCTTATTAACCCCTGGGAATTATCAAAAAAGTTAGTTTTCCTATCTGATTTATTGTTTGCTATAAAGAGAGAAGCTGCAGCTGACAATTAGAACATATAAACAAAACTGTGTGGATCACAGAAGTGTTACATATGTATTTTACCATGGTTTTACTTTCTTTTTACCCTCTAATTACAAGATTGTATAGCACTGGAATTTTTGCTTTTTTTTCATGGCATTCCACTAATGTTAGTTACAAAGTATGGAGCAAGAAAGGATGAACCACTTTCATGCAAATCAGTGTGTCAGAAGCTCACACGTGGGACTTCTGTGTTACACAGGATCAAGTAGATTCATTGTACACTTGTGTGTGTGTGTGGATAGGCAAATGCATAGAAATGTATTTCATAGTGATGCTAAGGCTGCACAGTTAATCTCATGGGAAACTATCCTCTGGGGTATGGCCCCAGCCAGAAAGCCGATATGGTCCAGTCTGTCTTGAGCCAGAGCATGAACATTTGAAAACAGTTTTCTAATTCTGGAGCTGTTAAACTGGGAATGTGTTGCATTTGTGCAAACCTGAGATTTTTCCGGGATGCCTTTAAGAGGTAGAATTTTACAGAAGTGACATATTTCTAACACAAAAGCTAGCAGCTGAACAAGAAGCTAGCTGTCTCCTGCAAGGCAGAGACCCACCATCTTCTGAAGATAGTGTTGCCCAACACTTTTTTTTGTTGCAAAATAACATCATTTATAGCCACATTTTTGGAAAGAACTGAACTATTTTCTGGAAATCAAAACAAAGAAAGACATCAAAACAAAAATATTATTCTAAGCAAAGCTCTTGCTGTGAAAAATCCTCTGTTGAAATGCTAAAGGTTACCAAAGTTTCAAGTATCAGAAGGCATTGCCAATAATCACCACTATCTGCTCTCATAATCTGATTTTTCATGTTGTTGTTTGGGATTTTTTGAGGTTTTTTTGACAAATGAATGTGAAGCTATCCACATTTGATCTTGCCTTGTAGAAAATTAAAAAACAAAGTATGCTGCCTAACAGACATAGGAACTTCCAGTATGCTAGAGGAAGGAGTAGGCACTCCAAACTTGCTTCTTGTATTTATTTGGGATTGCTGCTGTGATTTTCAGCAGGGACAGGACTAGGAATTGAGCTCCTTGTGTGCACCACGGGGAAGTGTCTGCCAGATCCCAACCTGTTCTCTGGCTGTCCTATGTCCTTTGTGCCAGGGTGGGTTGGAGGGGATGACTCAGTCTTAGCTTGAATGGCACCACTCCTTTGGAAGTACTGGGACAATATTTTAGAAGCAAGCCTAAGGAGGCAAGTGGTGATGATGACCTTAGAAACCTCTCAACAAAGAGGAGGCTGAGGAGGAATTGAATTTATTGAATTTATGGATTCCTGGACACATGAGATATTTCATGACCCAAGGAATTTTTCAGTCACACGAGAAAGGTTCAAGAACCAGACCATGAACTCCCCATTCACACTGCAAGAGGAAATCAGTGAATGTTAATTAGAAAAAAATCAAGCCAGTCAGGTGAATGTAAATTAGAAAAAAATCAAGCATGAAATGAGATGTAGCATATTTTGAATGGATACAATCTTCTAAACAATGGGAAAATAGCATGTGACTTTGAACTGAATTTAAATACAGCCAAGTGAAATTTTTGTGTAGAAATACCATCAACAGTTTGCTGTTTCCCTTTTTATTTTTGTGGAGATAAAAGAACAGCTGAGAAGAAGCATTAATGGATTTTACTGTGATTTAAATGCAGATGTGAAACGTAAATAATTTAAATACAGGTGTTTGCAGGTGGCCATCACATGTCAAAAGTTTTCAGTCACCACTAAAACCTGGCAAAGAGATGGTGCAAAAGTCAGAAGGTAAACAGAGAGCAGGTCCTCCATCCTGGCTGGCTGCAGTGGTAGAGGAACATTGAGGGGAATCCTCAGGGGTTATCTTTATTTAGATCTGGAACTTTTAAAGCAAGAGTCATAAAGATAGATTCTGGGCATCTAGACCACATGTTTCTGTGGGAGTAAGATGCCTGAATACTTTTTACAACTTCTTTGAAATAATTGTGACTGCACTTCTGGTGAAGACTCTGAATAACATCTTTGGAGGGTATCTATTCTATCTTTTGTCTCTGGGACAGTTTTTACTTAGTCATAGGAAAATTGATCACTGTGTGTTTAGAACAAAATTTGCAACTAATTTCTGAATAAAATTTATCTTAATAATATTTTAATATCCTATCTTTTTCATTATATTGTTGCAGGTTTGGTTCTCATGAGTTGAAAAAACAGTTCCTTGTACCAACTATAGCAGGTGATTTTGTGGCTTGCTTGGGTATCAGTGAAGCTGGAGCTGGGTCAGATGTTGCAAGTAAGTAAACCTAGAAAACTGCCAGTTTTAGACAGCCTGATCTTTTAATGGAAAGAATCTGTTTTTCCTGAATCTTCACTTTGCCTTGTAAGAAACAAAAGGAAGTGAAGTCTGGTGTGGTGAGGGCAAAAACTAACATTCCAGGAACAAAACACACACTTCTCATGCATCCAAAAGCAATTAAACCTATCTGTCAGGTGAATCAATGGAGTAACCTTGTATAGGCTGAGCACAACAGGTTAATGCAGTTTTTATTCTTCTAGTGTTCTAGAAGAGCTCTGTCCAGGCTCACCACTGTCAGGAGCACTCCAGCACCTCATCAGCTGCACTGCCACTGTCAGTAATGCAACTCTAGGTGTACATGAGAGGGAGCATAACCTGTTCAGCTGTACTAGAACTTGGACTGCCCTGACAAAGACCTCTCCACTGAATGGAGCAAGCTACAGAGCCACTCTGTTCTGACAGTGACAGCATCACTTTCACAATGATTTCCTCTTGCTCATCCTTACCTCACCTCAGCCCCTTCTGTCATTCCTGTGAAGCAAAAATGTCTCTCAACTCATGATGGCTTTATTTAGATCTAATGAAGAACTTGCAATGTCAAGTATATCATCTTTATGATTTAGTTACTCTGCATGCAACTGTTTTTCTTGGTTTAGTGGAAGAGTATGTTTAGAAACCAGGACAAATGAAACTATTATTCTGAAGTGCCTGAGGCAGTAGAAAATTTGAAAAATTAAATCCAAACAGATACAAAAAGAAAAGATGTCTCCTCTGATGATGAATCATGGACTTCACAGAAAAGGGAATGATAAGTGGCCACTTCTAGAGGTTTAGTTGTTGGACAGAGCATGGCTGAACACATGTTCTTGTAAATTACTGAGATATCTTCCTGCAGACAAACTTGCCAAGCATGACAGACATTTTTTATCTGAGGAATCCTGTATGCATCTCCATGACTAAACTTCTGTTGTTTTTCAAGGCAAATAGATAGTGCTCAAGCAAGGGTGAAGCAGGTAGATTTCAAGAATGTTAATGTGGATAATGAAATAATGGGATTAAATCTTCCTGCATAATCTAATGCTGTTTTCCTTTCTGGGTTAATTGAATTTGTTCATAAGAAAAATTCCATAATTTTAGTAGACTTGTTTATTAAACAGTACTTATAATAATACTTAATAGTTATAAATAATGAATATATAAATAATAAATTTCAATATTATTTAAATTAACATTACCACTTGTTGTAATTTAAGTATTATTAAGATGTGAATAATAAATCTTTTAATATACTTAATAGCTTACTTTTTACAGTAATTATAAATTTGATTTTTGCTAATGTAAGAAATACAACATCATTTATTTTAATAAATACCTCTCTTGTTTAATTAGATGATTATCAGAAAATTCTAAATAGGAATTTATTTTTTTTTTATGCGGTGTCCCAGATAATAAGTAGCATAAATATTCCTTCAGCAGCATTTTATTTATCATCTAGTTAAAGTGGTATGATACACTTAGATTAATGCAGTTAAAAACTAATTGGGAATCAAAGAGGATTATCTGATGAATCTATGCTGCAGCTTGGAGACACACTGCAGGATGAAATGAAAATATTTTTTCCCCTGTCCTGGAAGATTTGATCCCTGATATAAATACCAAATCCAGCTTACAGTGCTTCTTAAGGTCAATTAAGCAGACTATTTAGGTATGAGCAACAATAGCTTTTGTTCTGACTTGCACCATTTGCACCATCTCCAGATGGCCCAGCTGTAAAGTGGACTGAGCTGTGTGAAACTGCACTTGGTGCTTCCTTTTGTTGCTCATGCTGTTGGGATGTTTGTCTCCCTAAGTAAAGGGACATAGCAACTGTTCACATGTGAAGGCTGGGGATGTGTTTCTGCATTTTAAACTAAAGAATGACAAAGAATAAGGTATCTCTAACATTTTTCCCTGCATTTCTGAAATTACTGAAGGTGATATGAACACAGAAGACAAAAACAGTATTTACATGAGAACTGAAATGTGCCTCAAACTAATTTATTCAGAATTCAACAGAGCAAAAAGGACTGTGTATATTAGTCTAATACAAAATTAATGTAGATTTGAAGGAACACCAGTCTGCGTTCAAGTGTAGTTCTGTATTGTCCATAGTAGTGACCATGTGCACCAAAACTAGCACAGAGTTGGCTTGAGGAGAAAAACAGAGCAGTACAGTTGGTACAGAACAGACAGGTTGGTCTTTAATTTCAGGATTCTGGTACTACAAAGCATAAACATTTGTGTCAGTTTGAATGATATTGTCTCATTTGATCTCACTCTGATTCCACAATTTATAGAATGTAGTCTGGGGGGATATATAAGAACACATCATGGAAAACATGTCTACTTTCTTCAAGCAATGTCCAGGTATCTGCAGCTAGTAACACTGGTCACATCTACCTCTTCAACATAAATATCTTGCGTCATTTTGTCTCAGTGGAATCCAGCCTTTCTGCTTTTCTGGATTGAAGTTGTCTTTTCTGAGCATAAACCCCCAGAATTACACGTGGTGTCTATAATGCCACAAATATGTTTCCAACCCTAATAGAAGTATTACTCTTCAATAACAACTCTGTTACACAACAGCTTGCAGACTTGTGAATCCTATAATTGTGGATCATTTTCATTACCAGTTTGCTATTGAAACATTGCAGGATTTAGCAATCACTTTTACTACTTTGTGTCTGAGAACTTGTACTTGCCATGTTGAATTTGAAAACTCAAGATCATTCCTCTCTGCTGGGCCATACTTCAGTTGTCTGTTTTGGTGATGTCTCCCAATTTTGTGTCACAAACAAATTTAATTAATGCATTCCTGTCCTCTTAAAGATCATTAATGCAAATATTCAGTAGTTTTTTTCCCAGAGGCTGATATCCAAGGAGGGGCTTAACTAGTACTCTCCCTGAACACCAGAACTTCCTCTTTTAATGTAACCTGATGCAATTTCTGCTTTGCCAAGTTCTTTGTGCACATTTCCACTTCTGTTCTAATACTTACCTTTTCAAATTTTAACTCACAGTAGCCTAGTAGTGTCAATTTAACTTCCTTGGGTCCAACAGGATTTTTCTCTAGAAAATCCAATTTCATAATAAATGAGGCTGGGTTTAAATCAACCCAAATTTACCAAATCATGGGTAAATTTAATTATCTTTTCTTTCCAAATGTATTTTGAAGCTGTTCAGATTGCCAAAAATAGCAACTTCTGTTTTCACTGATTTCAGTTTTTGTACAGACTTTCTTATAGGTGTTTTGCTTTGTCAACCATACTGTGAATCTGTCTGTAATCTCCTGTGAAATACTTATTTTTTTTAAGTATCCTCTATATGCCTCATTTTTTTGCAGTCACCCCAGGACACCATCTTTTCATTTATGTGGCTGAAACAGTTTTGTTTTCCACCACAATCTCCTTGGATTTTGTTGGTTTTCATCTGCAAGATTTAACTTAGTTCAACCTGTTCAACCAGTACTTATCTTCTGACCTCCAAATTGTAACTTACTTTCATGATGGTTCATTTCCTGCACGTAATTTCCTGTTTTTTTAAGTGATTCTTCATTCATTTAGACTTGAAGCTATTTCTTTAAAGTTTTGGGTTTGGGGTTTCTTTCCTGTGCTTATGGTGTAACTTTCAGATATGTGTTCTTCATATTTGACTTTAAGGATGTGTGTTGCCTATCTTTGACTGTTGTACTGACCTTAAAAGTTGAAGCCAACCTTAGCTTTAGTCAGATCTGTTTAGATGCATGGCTGGACTTGAGTGCAGTGGAGAAGAAAATTAAGGCTCCAGTACCTGTGATTTGAACAGTGATATGACAAGCCGTGGTTGCTTATATGGCACAGCTGTATCATTCACCTCTGCCTCAGAGCATGCTGTGTAAGAGGTTGTGAGGGTCAGTGGTGTGGGCCTGCAAATATGAGTTATGGAGTACCCAATGAAGTAGCCTTATCCCAGAGTTATCCTCTATCAGGCAAAATAAATAGTCAAATATTCCAAATTATCTTCATAGCCATATTCCTGAGTCTACTTGGCCATAGTAAATTGTTAAGTAGGTTTTCAAAGCCTGCTGTATTTTAGACATAAAACTTATGTATTGATTTGATCATCTTTCTTCTAATTAAAGAGAACCAGTTCTTCACAAGACCATTTAAAATAGCTGTTTCTCAAGTGTTTGAAGCAAGCTGTGAACAATTGAATCTGGAGTACTTGAACATTCTCATTAGTAAGGCATTTGTTCTTTAATCTGTATTTGGGTGGTTAGACCGCTGTGACGCCATGCCTGCAAGAACTATTTACATTTGTGGTAACATCACAGTGCTCATTGTTCCTTTGCAGACCTTCTCTGGGACTTCTATCTAATCTCTTCAGTAGCTATTCCACAGCAAAGGGACGTATGATGTAAATCACTGTGTATGCTCCAGTCCTTGTCACGCCATTTCACTACAGTCATATTTCTTATTCCAGCTCTTGTGTGTCCTTAATTTATTATTTAGTCTCCATGTATATGAGTGTCCAATGTCTGTGTCCATGTCTTATGAGTGCCAGTACTTTAGATTACTTAAGCTTCTTGGCATTCATTATTATACAGATTTCATATCAAGTCCCTTGGACAGATTTGCCTTTCAGTCCTTTCATTGGGTGAATTCCTCTGTGTCTGCTGGTTTTATCCACATCATTACTATCTCTTTCCCTTGCTGTTCATCATTATCAGCTGGTACATTCCTTTAGCCATAGCTATATCCCATACTTCCTTATTTCATACGTTACACAATTTTCTCCCATCGTTTTTCTCCTGTGCCTTCATTAACAAGACTGATTTTCAGCCAGGCTGACCTCAGTCCCAGTTTATCTCCTAAATGAAGGTCATTTAGGAAGACATTTGGGTTTGCTTTTGGTTTATGTTTAGATCCCTAGGGACGAATGTGCATGTGCAGGCTGAGGTGATTGTGTATGAAAGTGTAACCAGATGACTTAAACATGCCTGCCCACTTCACGTGGTGTCTGACTCCTACCCTCCAAGTCTATGGTCCCCCTTCAGTGGATGGTCTGTTATGGGTTTCATACATATTTACAGGTGCTATTAAGAGTGTGCTAGTGTTCTCTTATACCACCACCTACTTACATCTGGATATCTGTTGGAGAGTCTTCATCATCTGGGGTTGTTGTTGAAGAAGTTCAATTGCAGGGAAAAGAAGCCAGACCTTTAGAAACTCTGCTGGAGTGTAAATAATAACTAATGATTCTCTCTGGCTGTCTGTTGCAGCTAGGGCTGCTTGCAGCATGGTGTGAACCGCTGCAGATAAAAATAAGATTTTTTTTTTGCCAGGGTGTCTAAATAGCAGGTGTTTAGAACTCCTTCATGTCCAGACACTCATTGCATTCAGACTTGGCCTTTAATAGTTTTGAACATATTGCAGCATCTTGACCAAGAGCATGCAGGAAGCGCGTGTTAGTTTATGTTTATACATTCACAGATACCAAGGCTTGTGTTTGTTTAAGTCAGGACTCCAGAATTAATGGCCTACCCAGGACTAGGGTCTCTAAACTCTCTATCAGAGAAACTCTAATAGACCACCTCACAGTGAAATGCTTCTGTCACAAGTTTTTGGCCAACACGTTTAATTAGGAAGTTTTCTGCTCTCATCCATTGGGATGAAGACTCCATCTAAAGGAAGGAGGGAGAAGTAGTCCTGTTTCCCTGGCTTGACTTCCAAGAGTTGTCCAGACTGGCTTGTCTTATGGCCTGGAAGGGTTATAGGACCAGGGGGGTATGAGGGAGAACCAAATAGTTTTGTCTGAGAGCAATGGAGTGACCCTGCCAGTCATACCTGGACCAATATACCCCTCCTTCAAAAGAATAACTCTTCATTTCCTGTGTTTTGAAATAGATATCAAGACAACGGCTGTGAGGAAGGGCGATGAATATGTCATAAATGGTGGTAAGATGTGGATTACATCTGGAAGCCAGGCAGACTGGATGTGCCTCCTGGCAAACACCAGCGAAGGACCTCCCCATCGAAATAAATCTCTCATATGTCTGCCAATGAATCTACCTGGTAATAACACAGATCTCTTTGTCTTCTAATTTGATTTTAATTTGATTTTTTTTATGCCTAATACAAGAAGGAAAGGTATTTAACCAAAAATATATTTAGAAAAGTTGTTCAGGTACATTTTCATGGCAATGATTCATAACCATATGAAAGTAAAAGCATAAAGAGTTTAGAGATTTCAGACTTGGGAAATACCTCTCAAAACAAGCCTGGTGGGCTTGCTGAAGAGAATTGCAGGCATATTCAGAGTGTTTCATGGCCATGCTGTACAAAGGGATCCTTTCACCAGGGAACTACTACCAGTTAAATTATAAAAATAGTCTGAGTTAAATGTGGGCTGGATTGGAAGATTCTAATATCATGGAAGTACGGATTTGGTTTTGAATAAGACCAGCAATTCAGGTGAAGACATGGAAGAGATACATCCTGAACTACGGGCACCAGTTTCAGTGGTACAGTCCACAGAGTGTTCCTGAGTAGTCTGCAGACCTTGCAGAATGCACAAGTGCTATATGCATAAACAACATCATCCAGAGAGGATGAAGTTAATATCGTGGTTTGCTGGTGGCAATCCTTTGCAGTTTTTGACACCTGTTCAAAAGTTTTTAAACCTTTTCAATTTTAACACATTTTAATATTTAAAAAATATGCAACATTGATTTATGCAATATATAATTGTATATTTAATATTTCATTTTAAAAATTCATGCTTATTTTATGCAAAGAAAATTTAAAACAATATTTATTAAATCTATAATAGTATATATTAATGCATTTATATGTAAAATATTTATACTTGGGGCTCTTTTGTTCATTCAATTCAGAGTATTTTACACACAAAATATGTGCCATTATTGGCATTTCACATGTAGGAACACCACCATAGCAGTGAAGTGAATGTCTGCATGTTCATTTAATGGATTAGACTGAGAACAAACCCAGGTCTCCAATGTTGCACAGGTGGACAATGAGAGCTTCTAAAGGGAATGTCTCCTAGGTGAATTTCAGCATGGAGTAAGTCGAGCAAGTGAGTTTCGTTGGGAATCAAGCAGGTTCTGAATGAATTGTGAGCTTCTACTACCTCTGCTCCTGCAAGACAAGCTTTGAATGGGAGCTCACGGAAGACAGACCTGAGCTGCTTCACTAGTTGTGAACTTTGAGAAGTGATGAATGAACATGTAACTCAGGACCAGAATTTTTCTGAATTTCTAGTTAAATCCACTTATCAGCCATCTGCTTATAAATGAATGAAGTCCTTCTTGTGATTTTTCATGAAAAGGTCAGAATGCAAATACAGTATTACTTCTCTGAGATCAATCTTCCTAAAATAGCAAAGCAGCTGACTCACAGTTGGTGGCAGATAAAATATATAGAAATTGACTTAGAGGTTTTTAGCCACTTTGCTTGCTCCAAAAAGACACAAGTTGTCATAGCTCTAGGAAAGTGGAGATTTTAGATCTCACAGCCTACACACAGACCTTCTTTACCTGCATTAAAGATATTTAGAGTGGGAAAATTGCCTGAGACATCTTAAGCGGATCTGCAGAAGTGTAGAAGTCTTCCTAGGAGCAAAATTTATGCCCCTCAAAATGCATGTTTTAATTCTTCTGTGGTGATATGTATATTTACCTCAAAAGTGGTCACAGTACCAAGATTGGTGACCTTTTGAAATGAAGTATTAAGACTGTTGATTATGCTCAGTGGGTGAGTCATATCAGAAGTGAGATTTTTCAGGAAGCTCCATCTGGTTTGGTACATCCTAAGGATGTCTGTCTGCTAGAGATTGTGCTCCATGGAGGGTGGCAGGACAAGGCTGTACGGGAAGTGTCTGGAGGACATCACCAAATGATGCACTCTCAAACGTCTGTGGATGTATGTGTGTCAAAGCTCAAAAACAACTGCAATGGAGAGCAAATGTGTTATGTCTGACTCACCTCTGCAGGCACCAGCCTATGTAGCTGGATAAGGAAGGATCTGTGGTGTATTTCTGCAAAAAATCTAAGTTGTTTTGCACTTAGATAGTGTGGTGGGGGAAAAAAAAAGAGAGAGAAAAAGATTCCATGTCCAAAAGTAAATTATTAATTTCAAAAATCGGTAGTTTACTGGATAGACAAAGTAGGATTTGTTTCTTCTAATTTTCGGTATATATACTCTCTAATCTGGGTTGAAGGAAATCATGGTCTAGATATTGACAGACATTGCTGAGTACATTTCTCTTAAAGGAAATTTGGGTAACAGCACCATGGATCCACAACAGATATCCAAATTAGGTGAATACTCCTCATAAAATAACAATGTCTTAAAAAAGCACTGCATTTTTCATATAATGAAAAAGAATCTAACAAGTTGCAAAACATCTGTGTGTAAAGTATGTAGACAAATGGCTTGCAGCCCTGATCTGGTAACTATGTGTCCTCTGGTTTGTCCTCTGAGTCCTCAGATAGCTCTAGGGGAGATTGCAAGGAGGAGTTAATAAAGAGAAGAGCAACAAGGAAAGGCGAAAGAGCATGTTTCTTGGGTTGCAATTTAAAATGTGTCTGTTTTCATTTGTAATGGCACTAAATGGTTTCAGGAGAGAGCAACTGCCTTTCTCTCAAGATAGAATACAGGAAATAAAAGAGATTGTCAGAAGGCTGGAGGAATGGGAGAAAATGAAAAATCAAAGACACTTGGGAAGAACTGCCCAGCCAGAGAAATAGAAATCTATCTCAGTGATACTGGTGCAAGTAGCTCAAATGGCTCTGTTAGAGTGATTTTAGTAAGTCACTTGGCCTTGTTAAATTGAGATTTTTGAGTTATTGTGGGTGATTTATTTAATACAGACGAATACCAGGAGTTATTCTGTAATTTCTACTGCCACTGGTAATTTTTCAATTGTAGTACCTCTTAGGAAGAGAAGGAAGATAATTAACTGTAGGGAGATTTTGATGCCCCCATAGTGGCCAAAGAGATGATTATGTACAATTGTCTTCCATGATGTAAAGCATGTGCTAGCCTCAGAAGGGGCATCCCATGAGACTCATGAAGCTTGGTCTCCTTGTGGGTGAGAACCATGATTTAAGAGCAAGTGAAGCTGGCAGGGCATGACAGAGGGGGATGCTGCTGGACCCAGAACACTCAACCTGATCTGGAAGAATTACAGGTAAAAATCATTAGCACATTTAGCTCCTTTAACCAAGCCTGTAAGAGATCTCTTCAATAGTTGTTGGTGTATGTGGATCTGGGAAGTAAACAACAGGATTAACTTAGCAATATAATGAACTAGCAGAGTGAGGAGAGTCCTTTTAAACCACCCACTAACA